AAATTTACCAAAACTTTATCTAACTTCAAATTACAAGGTTTTGTTCATAAACTGCGCTTCTGTAGACGTCGATAAAGCACATTTTAACCCGTGCTAAGCAGTGACTTGTTGTATACCTAACGCTGTTCTATTGTTCCCAAAAAAAATTGTTTCAGACTCTTTCCTTCATTTCTGTAGGCTTTTCTAGGTATAACATATGTCAGTACTGCCGTGATTCCGTAGGACTGGTTGTCGTCACTCTTACTGCTTCAGTTTCTTGATAGCCTTCTTTAATCTAATTAAAACCTTTTTATCGCCTTTTTATACCTTGGGCAGGAATTGTTCTCTGAGGAATATCTTATTTGGTCCCCCTTACAAAAATTTTATTTTTGCGGATGTCAGTCACTACATTGTGGTTATGAAAAATAAGTTTATCTTTACAGCTAAGTAACTAAAACAAAGTTAGTTGACTATGACATTATTTTTTTTTTTCGTTTTTGTACTGAAATCGTTATTTTTTAACGCAATGCAGAAAAGTATAAGTTTGTTTTTCACTTCTTATTTTTATTGATTTATGGTGATAATTAAGTCTTATAAGAATCTATAAATTTTTCATAATAAACTACAGTTTTATAAAACTGCTTATTTGTTAGCAATAAACATTTATTTAGCTCAACGTATTACTTTTTGTTTAATGATAAAGATCACTGGATTACGTACTGTAAATGAGCACTGCTAGAATTGGAAAGTTTACATTAGGATTAGCGCTGGCTGGTAGTGGTTTCTCATAATTTACCAGATTTCAAGATTACTCTAATTAACGAGAAAAAGTATAATTTTGGAATTTGAACTTATCAAAGTGTCAATCACATAAATTTCAAGCAATATACATGTAGACCATGCAGCAGGGTACGTGACAATACTGAAAGCCTGAAAAGTGTTGTTTTGATAGTTTCACCAATTAAGATACAGAACGGATATCATTTCATCTATAAATTTTGCAAACTTCTATTTTACAGTTTTGAAACTTCTTATAGTACTGCTATGTTGATAATTTAAAAACTTTGAAAAACAGTGGCTGAATACCTTCCCGCATAAAGCCTTATAAAGCTAATATCGCTCTTAAAGAAAGGGCATTTTTCGCGCTATCCAACAATACCTGCAGCCCAACCCTTCACTTTTCCAGCTCCGGATATGTCTAGCAATATATAAATTATCAGGATTCTTTTCTTAAACTTCATTAACAGGTTTTTTAGAGGCTAGCATGGAAAGAGCATCTACTTTCCAACAGTGAGTCACAGTAAAACTATTTACACGACACATCGCACTGTAGCCCTGCAATTGGAAAAATTGAAACTTTAACGGATCTAGATAGGCGGGACGCAGAGAAATAGTCATGGGCAAAAAAGTAAAATAAAATACAAATAGCGAACTCCAATCTTTTCTAAGTTTGCAGTTATTGTCTTCGTTATTTCAACTGTTAACCAGAAGAACGGTTTGGAAGTAGCGCCCTGAATTGATGTCTTAGGAGAGCCAAAAACCTGACGTACAAAAAGAAGACTGATGCGCTTAACGTTGAAAAAGTTATGACTCTGCTTTCCAGAACTCAATGACTGCAATCATGAGCTTCGAGAGTGTTACCAAATGAATTTTTTTATAACGCTCTCTGTAGGCCGTTATGTTAAGTTTCAAGCTGGATGAAGCTATCAAAAATTAAACCCTTTCATTACTCATCATGTCCCTTAGCAATTTGGGATAGAGACTGCAGATGGATGGGAAAATTTAGAGGACAAAATCATCCAAATTTTTCGCATAGACAATTAAAATTTTTATGACGAGCGAAAAAAACGCCAAGTATAAATTACCACAGAGGTGGTGGTAGTTTTGCGCGCTTAGTACTCAAATCTTATACATTTGCGCGTTGAACAAAGGTCCTCAAAGCCGTCATCAACCTATCTCTCTTATGTCTGCGTAGGTGTAGACGGCAGACAAAGTACTGTTTATTGGTTAGGAGCAAAAATCTAACGCTGGGCATTCTGCCATAAATTGGGTTGAAATGTTGCGCCATCACATTTTTAAATGTGAGAAAGACTTCTGATGCAGGCATCCTGTTTTTCGTTGTTCCCGTCCAGCAGCAATTTCTAGGTGTGAAATGCAGTAAAAAATTTCCGATTTCTTTGGAAGGAAGAAAATTATTTCGTGTTGGTGTATTCTCCGATTGACATCGTGTGGACCTGCTGTAAAAGACCAGTGTAAAAGTTTTACAAGTTGCTAGAATAAATCAGCTTTAAAGCCTGAAATATATTAAATAGTGAAACTTAAGGCTTGCAAATCGTAAAAATGTCGACGATTGGTGACAGAAGTATGGAGGAAGCAGAAGAAGAAGCAAATGTGAGGGATTCAGGAGATGCTCAAGCGGGCAGTAGTAAGACACCAGATGTTAATGAATGCGGTCCTTTGACCGAAGAGCAACTGAATGTCGCCAAATTACTTTCTGAGGTAATAAGCACTGTTGCAGATGCTGTATCCAATCCGTACAAGTGGTTTTCATTAGCTTATCACAGAAGTTTTTATTTTTTTTTCTTCTTGTTCAAAAGGAGAACTGAAACGTTCAGAATGAATTTTTATTTTTTCCCTCTAGGCATAACTGCCTTTATTTTCACCATTACAAACTAAGTTTGAATTCTTTGGAAGGGAACAGTCTGACAAGAGCAGTGTTCATTTCAGATGACCGAAAATGTCGATCGTGTAGCGTTTGCAGCTGAGACTGCGAAACTTCGAGAGAAATATCAACGCATGAACCAGGAACTAACTGGTATCCGGTTATCTTTAGACTTGATCAGTTTGAAGGAATCTGCAGGACTGTCATTTTTATGTGAAATGATTGTTGCGGACAAAAAAATTAGTCTTTATCATTGCAAACTTTTATCATTACTGTTCAGTACTAGTTGCTGAATATTCATAAATTTTCGAGCGAATATCGCGTTTGGAGGAGAAGAGGGGTGATGAACAAATTGAACTTTCGAAGTTAACTGAGGAAGTGGGCACGCTCGGGGAATCATTAGAAGAAGTTTGTACAGCTCAATTCAAATCAATTTTTTAAAACCTCACTTCTTATTTGGTTGAAGTGTAAATCAGTTGTCCTGTCGTTTTATTACTGATACTTTTAATATTCATCACAGATGAACTGCGAGAAGCGTCTGGCTGCAGATGCGCAGGTTTTTGAAACTCTGTCAAGGCTCAGTTTTGTAAGCGTTGAAGCTTTACATCGGGGTGCTGCTGGTAAAGTCTTCAACGGGAAGTCTTTTGCAAAGAAACTGGTACGCTTCATGTACAAGTTTATAGACAAAATTTAGTATTATTCAAAGGATAAAAAATGCACTTGCTTCTTGTGTTTTAGAAATCTCATGTAGTTATTTAGTCATCTTTCTTTGACAAATCAGGAGAAGGGACGCCAGGAACCGAAATGGCTGCAAACCATATCTCTCTCGATTGTTGGGCTAGCTTTGGAGCTTCTTATGGCTATAACATTCTCAAATCTGTTCCTGCATTGCATACTCTGTAGGTTTCTGGAGCTGAATTTCAGCAGATAGTTGAAAGTCTGCAGAGCATAAATAAATTGGTTTGAAACCAGTGGGTTATAAATTCTCTTTTCAAAAAGTGAAGTTTATTAACTAGAAGTAGGGTATTACTCTTATTATTATTGTTTCAGAAGGCCATTTCTTGTCTCGGAAGAGTTTTGTTTTCGCCCAAAGAAAGAACGTGCGAGACACGAAAAAGAAACGGCTAAAACCTTTGAACTAAAAGCGCTCACGGTGGGTCTTTTTAAGAAAAATTTTATGAGAATAATTTTCATAACTGGTTTTTTTGCACTGCGACTTAAAAATTTGTTTTACATTACATCGATCAAATTAAATACAGCGGGATGAGATCGCTCAAGAAGAAAGAGCAGATTTGACGCGTCAGTTGGACAATGTATACAGTTGTTTGAAAACGGAACTTAAAAGAAGTGGTTGCAATCATATCGGCTTTTATGAGTTCTGTTTGCATCCGACAGACTTTGCCCGGACAGTGGAGAATATATTCTACGTCTCATTCCTGGTTAAAGAAGCGAGAGTGAGAATTGTACGTCCCGACTCAGGACTTCCTCAACTAGGTTAATACAGGCTTTCAACTGTTTTTTTCCTTGCAAAACATAATTTTTTTCCCAAAGGAACAGGCTGGTCATTAGATCTTTAGGTAGGGAGGATTTACGCAAGAAAGGTTGTGTGTAAGAAATTGTTAGACCGTGCATCTTTATTTGGTAATTTTGTAAAAGTAGAACAATCTGTACGGTCCTGAAAACTGAAATCCTCTATCTTCAATTTTTCGCTCGAAAATCATAAAAGAATGCTGTTTTTCCAGTACGAGTTTCGGCAGCTGAGCGAGAAAAAGCCCACGCAGATGACCTTTCGAGGGCGCAGACGAATCAAGGTGTTGTAACAATTTCATTCCCGCAATGGAAGGTATTTAGTTTCACATTAGATGCAGGTGATTATGTTGTGTTTCTCAACCTTGTTTGGAAGAGAAATCAATGCTTTGCAGGAACTAACTCAGCTATTAAATATAACAGAACCAGCCATTCGTCAAATTTAGTTGTGCAAAGGTGCCTGGAGCCTGTCCTTCGCTCACCGTTCTCGACTTCCCAAAGATTGTAGGTTAGAGAGACAGTTTTCGTTAGGCCTCATGCCTAAACCCGCTTGACTTCAACAGTAAGCTTTGCAGCTCGGTTTTCACTTTCTTTCACACGATAAATACACCTGAAGCCCTCAGAAGTTAATTTATTACCCTATAGAACAGCTCCGATGTCAAATAAAAAAAGTACCAGCGAAATAAATCTTGTACTCATTTTTGGTGTAAGTGAAATCCAGTTATTTCCTTCTGCAGCTGAAATATTTTACGATAGCGTCAGATCTGTGCAGTTGAAGAAAGAGTTTCACTCATTCCGTTCTTTTGTAGTTAAATATAACTGAAAAATATGTGCGATTGAAAAGGAAACCTGTGTTGACAGTTCTGTACCGACGGTAAACAGTTTTTGGTGAGAACAGCCGTATACAGTCTCACTGAATGAGTACTATACATATATCAGATGACTGCAAAGAAGGCATTGCCAGAATGCACAGTGAATAACATCAACAAATGAGTGGATGAGAGTGACGGTTCAGATCTGAATAACAGTTCTGTATTACAGTATCGGAGTTCATATGTTCGCCAGATCACTGGAGTCAAAGGCTACATCTTACTAAACTCACTTTATCCGAAAAAATCTAACCATGCCAGGATGAGGCTGTACAACTTGGAAATCAAAAACCTAGTTAATTCATGTTAAGACATGAAGAGACACCAGATTGCTGGCCTGCTTTTCTTTGATCAAATTTAGTACGGTTTCACAATTGGATCGTAATCTTCTCGGTCTATTTTAAGCCTATTAAGCATTCCTCTTGCATCGATTCGAGCCTGAAAAATATTTCAGGGTGAAGTCTGATGCAACACAAAATGGCGCCGCACGGACAACTACGCGTCATGCAAGCACAATCCAGAAGCTGGAAAACTTGGATCCCCAGTAAACATCCACAACTAATGGATCCCCAGTAAATATCCACAACTAAATATCATTTCCACCCAGTCCTGGAAAATGAAACAATGGAGAGCTCGAAGGTTGACAGCAAATCTCATGGAAATTAAAACTAGACAGAAAACCAACAAGTTAAGAAGAAAGAGCATTTAAAATTACACGTAGGTCGTCCCTGCATCTCGCTGGAGCTTTAAAAACAGCCTTCAACTCATCAATCGCTTTCGCTTTATCTTTTAATACCAAGTAGGTTTTACCCCTGTAATAGTGGTTCGCTGATCCAATTTCCGGCTGAAAAAATAGAACCAATTCTTTTGCGGAAGCAAAAGGGCTTTCATATAATCATTAAAAAATGAATTTCAAGTCAGTAACATCAGTCCCGTGACCGCTCACTTAAAATTTTGATATTAAAGAGACAATAATTCTGAAAGAAACAGGAAAGCTAAGGTCTTCCACCAAGAAGTTATTATACCTAAATAACGAACCTGCAATTCTTCAGCCTTATCAAAACACTTCAGAGCTTCTTCATAATTTTTATGGTAGAGTTTTTCTACACCTGAAAATGACCTATAAAGAGCAAGGGGAAGTATCAGAAAGGGCAAACAAATTAGCGTCACACCCAATTTCCTCAAGTTCTTAATAGTACGTAACAAATTAATTTTCCAAAAATTTATCGCTTCGAAACTTTCTGCCGGTAACGTGCTAGCACTTTTTAATTTCATATCTCCTAGTATTAGCACTCTAGTCTTCAATGTTCCCGAAATCGTCCCCCAAATGAACGTTAAAAGCTCCTACTTCAATCATTAATTAGGCGGTAGCTGCTGAGAAAAAAGTATTTGAAATAAGTTAATAGCCGGAGGCTGCTTAAGAGTGCATTCATACAAAATAATGTCTTTAAAACGATCAAAACTGTTCTTAGTAATGTGCGAAAGTGGAAATCTAGAGTTTGAGCAGCAAGGGAACACATAATTCAAAACTTTCAAACAGCAAAGAAAGTGCTAAAAATAAAAAAACTAAGAACTTTTTCTTCCCCTTTTAAAAATTAACCTACTCACAAAACCAACGTTGACTTTGAATTGTTTCCGCATAGCAATTTTGAAGGATCTTCTCTCGCAGTCCATTATTCCTTCTATAAACTTTTTAGGAACTGCTCGACTAAACATTTTTTAAAGAAACTACCCCTCCTCTCACGCTTTTAGTGAATTGAGCGTGATTTTTGCTCACGCTTCGTTCAAAAGCACTAATGGGACAATGTGTTGAATTTCCCTTCGTTTTTCAAATTGAGCTTCAAACCTCTAACTTTAGCGTCACTTTAC